ACGGGGCGCCCCTCCCTGGCCCCCACCGACGCCGAGGCGCGGCGCATGAGCCTGGCGCCCGGCGGCGGCCTCAAGCGCAAGCCCGGCGTGCCGCCCGCAGCGGCGGCGCCGCGCGGCATCCCGCGCCCGCGCCTAGGCTAGGCCTGGCTGGGCCTGGCTGGGCTGCATGCCACTGCCGCCGCCATGTGGGGGTCGGCAGTGCGGCAGCAAAGTAGCGGTGCCTGTGTCAGTGAGAGCATATCCCACCAGTTGACCATTCCTGAGTTGGCTGTAGAGCGCCCACAGCGCGGCCCCCCCCCCAAGTCCAGCGGCATCCCTGTACAATAATTACAGCCGGCAGCCCATTCATACTTGGCGGCAGGCAGTCAACCGAGGTGGGGCATGCATGGGGGGAGAAACAGGGCAACTATTGGTTGGCACCGACCGAGCAGCAGGCGGCGCCCTAGCGGCGCCGCGCAGCTCAGTCGTCCTTGCGGCTGCCGGCGGCCGAGTCGGCGTCGAAAAACTGCGAGGCGCTGGCGTCGCGGCTGCTCTCCGTCAGCTCCACCTCACGCCTGCGGCTGCGCAGGCCCGCCGCCGCGCCGTCGGCGTCCCCGGCCAGGCGGCGGTGCACGCCGCCGGCCTCGCCGCCGGCCCCCGCGGCGCCGCCCTCTGGCGCGTCTTGCAGGAAGGTCTTGGCGGAGTCTATTGTCTGCGCTGCCACCTGCGGGGCATGGCAGACGGGGACGGCGGGTGGGGTGGGGTGGGGCGCAGGAAGGCAGGCAGGGCGTGGAGGTGCCGGCCGCACAGCATGCACAGCGCTCACCGGCCCCCTCACCTTCTTGATGGCGGGCACAAACTTGGAGGAGAGGGCGATGGTGCCGGGCAGCAGGCCGCGCGCCATCTCCGCCTCAACATCCATCTCCTGCGGGGGGCAAGGAAGGGGGGGGGGCGGGGCAGGCGGCGTGTGGTGTGGGCAGCAGAGGGCACCTGCGTGAGGCACTCAAGTGAGCAGGCTCCGTGGAT